CGTTCTGCTTCGCGTCGACGCCGCCGATTCATCGCCGACGTCGCCGATGCATCGGCGATGCATCGGCGATGCGGTGCGATCCTCCGACCGCGTTTGCTCGGACCCCATCCGGCAGGCCTCTGCTGTTGCGGCCCTCTCCGACAGGCCGGGGCGGCGGGGGCGCGGCGGCCCGCCGCGCCGAGGCCCGCGGGGAGCGGCGACAGGCTCGACTACTCCCGGTTCAGCCGCATCGGCGACTCCGACTCGGACGGGTGAGCTCCGCGGCGGCGCGGTCGGCGCCCTGCTCCTGCTTCCTTCGGCACCGTTTCACCGATTCCCATCCCCATCCCCGTCCACATCTCGAGCCCCAGCGTCTCACCACCTCGGTTGGGGATGTGCCCCTCGAAGCCCGAAGAGAGCAGCTTCTGTCCCCAGCCCAGGGGGGGTCAATCGGCCACTGGGGCCCAGGCCACGCTCCCGGGGATAGGGGTCGAGGAAGCGATGCCCATCGTCCCCCTTGCGCCCGGGACTGCCTGTCGCATCCGGCCGCAGCCTGGGCGCGGCCGCGCGCTCGTCGACAGGGGCTTCGCGGCAGGAGGGAAAATGGTCGCCCGTGGGGGGCCGCGGAGCCGCCGCCGCCGCCCGCAGTCGTCGCGGTCGTCGCCCTTGGTCCATTGCCGTCTCCCTGTGTCGTCACGGTTGTCGTGGTCGTCGTCTTGGCCACCTCGTCTTGATCGTCGCGGTCGTCGTCGTGCCCCCCGACGCTCTCACGAAGCCATTTGGGGCGAGAGGCTTCGGACGTAACCTGCGATGAAGTTCGTGAGTTCCCACAGCCGCAAAGCTGTCGGAAATAACTTTGTTCCCCACGTGCTTAGTGGGGTTTTGGTTTTCTCTTCCACCCGCGTAGCACCGGCGTTTCTCACACACACATCCTCTCCTCTTCGGCCTCGCTTGTACACGCACATGTGTATCAGACCTGGTGTGCTCATTGCATGATGCACGCCCGACGCATTTACCACATGCACGGCACCCGAGACACACACAGCACGCATACACACCACACGCAGGTATAGGAGAGGGGTGACGCGCAGACGAGATACCGCTAGTATGGAATTATCGCGTTCAACATCTACGCATCATACAGACACACTTACAGCCGCACACACACTATACAAGCTCCGACTCACGACACGCACACCACACAACATACACACACGTGACACGCAGACGCAGAGCTACCCACTCACGTGACACGCACACCACACTACACATACATAGCTGCACACGTACTGAATGCCGCAAAGCCGACACTTCTCGACACCGTAAGCGGGTGCGCAGAGGGTGGTCCCTCAGCGCGGCCTCTACTACCTGTGACACGCTCGCAGGGCGTGGCAGGAGTGGCACTTTCTCGACATCGCAAGGGGGTGCGCAGAGGGTGGTCCTTCAGCGCAGCCTCTATCCGTGACGCGCTCGCGGGGCGTGCCAGGAGTGGCACTTTCTCGACACCAGATAGGGTGCGCAGATGGTGGTCCCTCAGCGCGGCCCCTATCCGTGAAACGCTCGCAGGGCACTAGAGGGGGTGCGCAGAGGGTGGCAGGAGTGGCACTTTCTCGACACCGCAAGGGGGTGCGCAGAGGGTGGTCCCCCAGCTTGGCCTTTATCCATGGCATGCCCGCAGGGCGTGTCATGCGCGGCTAATTCTCGACACCGCAGGGGGTGTGCAGAGGGTGGTCCTTCAGCGCGGCCTCTATCCATGACACGCTCGCAGGGCGTGGCAGGAGTGGCACTTTGTCGACACCGTAAGGGGGTGCGCAGAGGGTGGTCCCTCAGCGCAGCCTCTATCTGTCACGCGCTCGCGAGGCGTGGCAGGCGCGGCACTTTCTCGACACCAGATAGGGTGCGCAGAGGGTGGTCCCTCTGCGCGGCCTCCATCCGTGACACGCTCGCGGGGCGTGGCAGGAGTGGCAGTTTGTCGACACCGTGGGGTGCGCAGAGGGTGGTCCTTCAGCGCGGCCTCTATCCGTGACACGCTCGCGGGGCTTGGCATGCGCTGCACTTTCTCGACGCCAGATAGGGTGCGCAGAGGGTGGTCCCTCTGCGCGGCCTCCATCCGTGACACGCTCGCCCGGCGTGGCAGGAATGGCAGTTTGTCGACACCAGATAGGGTGCGCAGAGGGTGGTCCTTCGGCTTGGCCCTTCTCCGTGGCATGCCCGCAGGGCGTGGCATGCGCGGCAGTTTCTCGACACCGTAAGTGGGTGCGCAGAGGGTGGTCCTCCAGCGCTGTTGTTTTCTGTGATACGCTCGCATCGCGTGGCAGGAGTGGCACTTTCTCGACGCCAGATAGGGTGCGAAGAGGGTGGTCCATCTTCGCGGTCTCTATCCATGACACGCTCGCATAGCGTGGCAGGAGTGGCACTGTGTAGACACCGTAAGGGGGTGCGCAGACGGTGGTCCCTCAGCGCGGCCCCTGTCCGTGACACGCTCGCAGGGCTTTGTAGGAGTGGCTGTTTGTCGACACCGCAGTGGGTGCGCAGAGGGTGGTCCTTCAGCGCTGCTTCTATCCGTGACACGCTCGCGGGGGATGGCAGGAGTGGCACTGTCTCGACTCCCCAGGGTTTGTGCAGGTGTTGGGGGGCGCCTTTCGTTTCAGGCTTCCAGGGCGTGTCAGTGGGGGTGGGGAGCTTTCAGAGTCCGACCTTTCGGACACATTCCTCGAGCCCCCTCCTCGAACCTCCTTCAGCGGGGATGGGTGTTCGTTTGGATGGATGGATGAATGGATGGATGTACGGATGGATGGATGGATGGGGACTGAGGGAGGATAGGGAGGGTAGGAGAGATGCTGGAGCTGGAAAAGGCGACAGGAAGGGAGCGAGGGGGAACAGGGGAATAAGGGGATGGGAGAAGAGGGGAGGGGAGTAGGGGAGATGGGAGGTCCTTGCGAGGAGGAAGAGGAGCAAACGGAAAAGGCAGGGAGAGGGAAGGAGAGTGGATGGAGGGAGGGAGCAACGCTGGGGGAGAGGAGGAGCGGGCCCGAGTGGAGAGGGGCTGAGCGGAGACGGGCGCAAACGCACGACACACAGACCCTTACCTCGTCACATACATGACACGCACACCCACATTAGATCATACACACCAGACGCACGCAAAACGGTGGGGATGTAACCAGAGCTGTCGACCTTGTCTTGGTCCAGGTCTTATCCGCGCGCGGCACTCATGCCGCCCCAAATTGCCATCGCCGCCCTGCCACCCCGGTGCTTGGTGCTGACGGGCGCGATAATTGGGATGGGCCTCGATGTCAGTGTGGCAGGCTTGCGCGGCTACAAGGATTCGCAGGGATACTTTCTGGTTCGAAACGTACCCAATGCCTACCATCGACAGCTCGCCAGTTGGTGGCCTCATACTCTTGTTATGAGGTACAACGAGCTGAGTAAAGGAGGGAACGGCGATGGCAGGAGGCAGTGCTGTGTGAGTTACTGGCTGAACCTTTCTTTTGGCGGGTTCCTGGCTGATCCGCCAGGGGAGGGGTGTGGGGAGACGATGGCCTGCCGTTGGCGAAAGTTCGGCGGGTCGGCGATGCCGGCAGCGCGCGCGCTGCCACGCTCGTGCAGGCCACGCCCGTGAAGTCCGCGACCATGCAGACCTGCAACGTTAAGCGGTGTCCAGCTGTTCAGATGGCTCTTTCTCTTCTTTGCGCTGGCGCACCTCGCATTGCGGTATCCCTGTCGCCAGCGGAGGCTGACCGCAGTCGGTCGCAGGGACTGGTCGCAGGACTTGCGGGAGTCAGCCGCCCCTGAGAGCTTGTCTTCCAGAGCGGATTCGAAGGCGGTCAAATGGTGCGTCCGTCGCCAAACGATCTGCCGATCCAGAGTGCCGACCGTCGAGAAAAGGCGACGGTGCCGCTTTGTGGGGAGCGGTCAGCACATATTCTACCATTGATGAATCTACATAGTGGATGCTCCAGTCAAACACGTGTCGACGGCTTCGACCAGCGTTTTGAGTGCAACTTCGGCATTGTAGAATCTTGGCGGCGGACACCTACCGCTCTTTTCAACCGGTGGAGCTAGCGTGGTGGAAAACGGTTGGATTATGCCGTATGTTGACGGATTGTAAACGTTTGTTAACGGATTTGTAGCACCCCCGCATGTTGAGTGGGGTCTTGGTTTTCCTCTCACCCGCGTCGCACCCGCATCTCGCGCCTCTGACCCTCCTCCTTTTCGCCCATGCGCGCATCAACATGCGGTGCGCACCCACGTGAAAATCACGTCCGCTTGCAGCCGTTCGCACATCTTGAATAACCGCACGCGCATACGCGTGGGATTCGCAAAACGTGACAGACGTGGCAGTTTCTAGGCACCAGAGAAGGTGCTCACGGGGTGGTCCCCCAGCGTGACATGTGCGCGCTCCAGGGTCGGGCTGCGCGGCAAGCGTGGCATCTTTTCGACACCAGAAAAGGGTTCGCAGTGGGTGGTCCCTGAGCGCGGTCTCTATCCCGACCAGTGTTGCAAGGCGTTGCAGGCGTGGCATTTTTTCCCAACCATCCTGTGGTGTTGGGTCATCGTTTTGAAGAGACAGCGCCCCGCGTTCACTCCTTCCTTCCTTCCTCCCGCTGCCCCCTCCCTCGTCACCGCACCCATTTCGGCACACCCCTCACACGTTTCGTGGCCCCATAGGGAGCTCCACCGAAGGCCTCAGTTGCTGCGTTGGCATGGCGGCGCCGCACCCATTTCAGCACACCCCTCACACGTTTCGTGGCCCCATAGGGAGCTCCACCGAAGGCCCCAGTGGCTGCGTTGGCATGGCGGCGCCGCACCCAATTTGGCACACCCCTCACACGTTTCGTGGCTCCATAGGGAGCTCCACCGAAGGCCCCAGTGGCTGTTTTGGCATGGCGGCGCCGCACCCATTTCGGCACACCCCTCACACGTTTCGTGGCCCCATAGGGAACTCCACCGAAGGCCCCATGGTTGCGTTGGCATGGCGGCGCGCACACATTTCGGCACACCCCTCACACGTTTCGTGGCCCATAGGGAGTCCACCGAAGGCCCCAGTGGCTGCGTTGGCATGGCGGCGCCGCACCCATTTCGGCACACCCCTCACACGTTTCGTGGCCCCATAGGGAGCTCCACCGAAGGCCCCAGTGGCTGCGTTGGCATGGCGGCGCCGCACCCATTTCGGCACACCCCTCACACGTTTCGTGGCCCCATAGGGAGCTCCACCGAAGGCCCCAGTGGCTGCGTTGGCATGGCGGCGCCGCACCATTTCGGCACACCCCTCACACGTTTCGGGCCCCATAGGGAGCTCCACCGAAGGCCCCAGTGGCTGCGTTGGCATGGCGGCGCCGCACCCAATTTCGGCACACCCCTCACACGTTTCGTGGCCCCATAGGGAGCTCCACCGAAGGCCCCAGTGGCTGCGTTGGCATGGCGGCGCCGCACCCATTTCGGCACACCCCTCACACGTTTCGTGGCCCCATAGGGAGCTCCACCGAAGGCCCCAGTGGCTGCGTTGGCATGGCGGCGCCGCACCCATTTCGGCACACCCCTCACACGTTTCGTGGCCCCATAGGGAGTTCCACCGAAGGCCCCAGTGGGTGCGTTGGCATG